TCACTGTTTCGAAACGTCAGGAGCGTTCAAATCCGTGTCGAATTTTTCAGGACGGAGGTAACGGTCCATCGATTATTAGACTAGTAAATTGTTACGGACGACAAGCGAGTACGATCGAGATTAGAGAGAGAACGCGCAAACCAGAAGAATACGCTTTACTCGTCCATCAATATCGGTACATGGGCTGAAAAATAAAGAGAACGACGTAAGTAACAGCATACGGAAACAGAACCAAGAACAAACAAGGCATTGCTACTAAATGAAGATCCAGGTAAGTTGCAAGCTTTTCTGGATAGTTTGAGTGCTAGTGTANGACCCTATTTTCCACTCTAAAATTGACTTTTTCTTCCTATTTTTCCCATTTTTTCAATTATTTTTTATAAAATTTAAATTTCCGAATTTTCGCGCCAAGAAAGACTCATTCCGCACCACCGGCCATCCTGTCCCTGATTAGTCCGTTTTTCTCTGTCTCATCACTTTTGAGTTAATTTACAAGGTCACTGATGGCCGGTCCCCAGTTTGTATATAAACGGTTGAGCTGTCCAGTCTCATCGCCTTTTCGGGTCGCGCCAAATATACAACCTCGCCTGAAGGCCTTCCTTCCTCTTTCTTCCTGGTCGGGTTCCGGGGATAGTACGGGTCCGCGTGTCGCTACTATCGTTACCGTTGTTGGCCGTGTCACTTTCGGGTACCGCAGTCGGGCACGGGATCGCTACTCCACCGCTGGGTTGCACGGTTCCTTCAGTTCACGGGTCTACGCATATCGCTGGTCGGGTCCGTACGTTGCAACATATTTGGCGACATTTTGCAGCAGTGTAGCTATGTTCGGCGTGCGTTTTCGCCTTCAAAGTGTAAAATTTTGTTCCAAGAGTGGGTTGATCCAGCAACCAGCTTCACCCTGACTGGGGAACTAGTAGAGGAAGTAGACAAATTTTGCTATCCGGGCACCTATATCTCACCTGGTGGACGCATCACAGATGAAGTGTCGGCGCGCATACAAAAGGCTCGGTTGGCACTTGCTAACCTGAGACAGTGGTGGTGCGTCGCGACGTCCGGCTGTCTATGAAGGGTCGAGTGTATGCTGCAGCAGTTCGGCTAGTGCTCTACGGTGCAGAGATTTGGCCACTACGGGAACAGGATAAAAATAGATTGTCGGTGTTCGAACACCGCAGTCTATGTCGCATTTCACGAGTCTGGCGGGGACGCCCGAAGAACAATGCTAAGGTCAGGCGTAGAGTTTTAGGTAGTCGCGGTCGTCCACTAGAGCAAGTGATTAACCTCCATAGATTACGCTGGTGGGGTCATGTTTTGCGCGTGTCACCAAATAGATTGCCGAGGCAGGTAGCGGTTGAAAAAATGTCAAGGGTGGTCAAACGAAGACCTGGCATGAGGGTATGAAAACCCTAGGTCGCATAAGTCCCGTTAGGCTGCCTGGCTGGAGACTTGGGGATCATGGTCACCGATTGTTTGATACACTGACCAATGTTGCTGAATGTCGCACACAGTGATGCTCGTACATCCTCTCATAATTCCCTTAAAACCATTCTATACGAATTCTGCATCTTCCACTTGAATTTTCTTTCAAGATTCCAGTCTTTCTGCTCTTTTGTCCAAATGGAGACAGCAACCAAAACCGGCGCGCGATAGTGCATGGTTAATGATTGTAAAAACTGAACTGAACTGAACTCCCCACGAGGGCCCTTTTTGAGATGGGTACAATAATCGATCCCCTCAAGAGGAGAGGACCTTCTCAGTGTGCCAGACCTAAGAGAACATAGACATCGATTCTCTAAGAAGCTTTATCGCCCGTCTTTAAATAGAGCAGGGGAAGGCCATCAGAGTGTGACGCTTTGTGACAAACCAAAGCTTGGAACTCCTTGCTGGTTTCCGCATCAGAAGGCGTCTTTTGCAACAGACCGTGAGGCTTATGCCAGAATAGCTCTGCGAGAAGCTGAAGCCGGTGGCCAGCTAAACTACCACGAAAAGCTCCGCCTAGCGTGCAAAACGTCGCTGTTGATTTTAACTGGATCAGTCGTCAGCTTCATAGATTATATATATATATATATCCATTTTCCTTCAGAGATCATTTTACATCTCTAATCGTCATCGTCTTAATTTATCCTAACAGGTTCTAGCTCAAAATGCTTGCATCGTTGAACAAGGTGATAGCATCCAAAAGGTTCATACTTGCCAGCGCTTCACCGAGAAGAAGAGAAATCATGCAAACTTTAGTAAGCGATGATCTCTTATACACTGGAACGTACAGGGCATTGTATGTGATACAATATCACCTGCTGTGGACGAGGATATACCTTTGTCAGAGTGTCCGTCGGTTGCTGACTATGTGAAGAAGTTGGCTTGTCTCAAAGCCAATGCAGCTGTGAATGCACTAGGTCCCGGACATGTGTGTCGTTCAGGCAACTTTCCAGTGACTAAATTTTTTACCTTCCCATAGGAGTATGATTTTCTTATTTCCGCGGATACGGTTGTTACCCTCCAAGGAGAAATATTTGGCAAACCTCATAATCGCACAGAAGCCATTGCTACATTGGAAAGGTTGTTCTGTAGAATTTTCGATCGTCATTTCTACTACAGACTCAGCGGAAAAACACATGAAGTGCTTACTGGTGTTTGTCTTTTCTCATTTTGTGACTTTGGGGACCGAAAATGTGTTACTTTCCACGAAGTTACCGCTGTGACCATGGCTGAGCTCGATGAAGATACCATTACAGCTTACGTCGATTCGGGAGAACCTATGTAAGTTTTCAATAATTCGACTTCCCACTGTATCCACATGTTTTACATCATGTAGTTATTTCTTTCGAATAATCTGTTGTTTTCAGGAGAATTCGAAGTGCACCTCGTTCACCCTCATTCTGTCCTAATCTTGGTATTACTGTCAGCCTTTTTCCTCCATATTTTGCTCATTTCTTCATTAATCGTTTAAAGAAACTTGAAGATAGTGAGCAGAATCAGAGCGTATACTTGCGACGTCATTGATTGTTTAGTCTGAACTGAAACTTCCAAGCATACAGAATGGTGGGGCGAATGCAAATTTTTCCCTTTCCAGGGACAAAGCCGGTGCATACGGGATTCAAGGTCTCGGATGTAGTCTGATCAAACGAATCGAAGGTGACTATTTCAACGTTGTTGGCCTACCCTGTTACCAGCTTTGTTATCACATACGAAGCTTGTGCCTCAGGTGATGGAGAACTTTTGTATCTTTAACGTTTACTTTCGTATATACCTTTTGATTTTTCTGTGAACTCATGTCAATCATAGATCTCTGAAATACTTCTGTTTTTTTTTGTTGTGAGTGCAACGACGTTATGGAAGTCATGTTTGTATATACGCCCATATAAAGGCTGACGTTCGAAAGTATTTGTCCGGATAAGACTTTACAGCACGGTTTATCTTGATCTCATTTCATATTCCTTCGTGTAGATTCGCGAAAGCGTGCTGTATCATGTGTTGTTGACATGAAACCAACTACAGTCAAACTCCTGCTATGTCGCACCCCTCGGGAATTCGAAAAAGTGGGTAAATTTCAGGAACTGCGACATAGCAAGGTAAACAATAGTAGGTGCTAATAAGTAGTATGAACATCGGTTGACAGTTTTGACAAAATAAACCGAATCGATGAAACTAGGTTAATCCCGTTAGTTGTTCCCAACAGTGATGATTATAAACTGTTTATTTATAACGGAATTTAAATCTACCGTCCTGCGTATCCTGTATGTATCGTAGAACTTTAAATATTTTATGACGCCCTCAGCCTATTATCGGTACATTGCACCCGGTATTCAGACCTTTTCAGTTCTGTGTCTAGTTATCCCGAATCTACCTACCTTTCTTCAGGGGAACTTTTTCTGACCCAATTATCCCATATTGATTCCACATCTTCCTCCATTCCGTTGCAACGTTAGGCTAACCACAGGATTGAGTATATGACGTCCACCATAATATACACCTGTTTTAGCTATAATAATCATATCATTTTTAACCCATTCAAGGAAAATCAAGGTGAACCATTTCGAATACAGTGAGGAAATAGCATCTAAAATGAGTGAAATATCTGTTACGTAGTATATTCAGAACATTGACCTCCTTCCCATATTCAAATTGATTGTTCGCTGTGCAATCTATCCATGATTTTCTGTTGAAAAACGTGTATCATTAACGTCTGTAGACATCTGTTCGTTCGTTCGCTTCTGTTGTTACCAATGTATGTTCAAACCGATTGATGCATTCGTCATGACCGTTGTTGGTCGGATTAAGTTCAACTAGCGATGCCTTAACGTGATTCATAAGCCATACCTTTTTCAATTTAAGAAGTCATGTTGGTATGTAGACAGTACTTTAGTCCGAATACCCCACCGGTTCACATTGTCTTCTACTTTTTGTGATCTTGTTGTCACGTTCAGTCCATCCGTGTGCTGATGGCACACCCGTTGTGCAGTCAAAGTTCACTGGGCCTGCCTAAGACTCATGGTTGTAGACGAGGTGTGGTTTCTCGCTCGGGTTAGCTGGGCAAGCACCAGGTCCCTTGTTGCGGCTGAACCGTTGGACCGATCGGTCGTGCGATTGTCGGGCCGACACCGGAGAGGGCCAGGTTCCGAATCTGATGCTTAGTGTTAGCAAGAGATTCATAAGCTAAAAGTGCATCTCACAAAGTCTCCTTAGACCCAGGTTACGATGACCTTTGGCAGGTGACCTGTCTAATTTCATCGGTGCTCTAGGCCAGGGGAGAGTGTTGTTCATTCATTCACACAGGCGCGTCCGTGTAACGGTGTTCATCGATCGCTGACAGCTCACTCCACTCACCCGCTTACCAGTCAATCGCGAATATCGTTCACCCGTTTGCACGTTAGTGCTACGGAGCCCATCGATANACCGAATGACCGTGGCTTTGGTGACCACTGTAGCAAAAATGACCACATTCCAGTGCCTCACATTTCAGTTCAGTGCCCCACAGAATAGCAAAAAAAACTTCCAGATTAGAAAGATGTATTTTTTTTAGCAAAATCATAAAATCAAAATAACTTCTGCACCTTTCTGATTGAGATAACTTCCGGGGCATTCACTGCCTCGCATTCATCTTTGCAATGCCTTGCTTGATTCGAAACGAATTCATCTAATGACTAAGCCGCCGTGTTTGGGAGTCTATCGGGGATAAACCTACTAGCACACCGAATTCAGATTAGTAGACTTCGCTGGCTAGGGCACGTATTGCGTATGCCCAGCCTCACCTTATTCGCTGTAGCCGCTCCGGGCTGGAGGAAACTACGTGGAGTTCAACAGATGACGTGGAGACGGAGCATGAA